GTTATGATTGCTATCATGGCAGTAAATAAATGAAGCAAAAAAAATGAGGATATTGCTTATTTCTATTTTGGTCTAAAGCCCCATCTGTAGTCTCAGGTACTTATATGCTCATCAACAGTGACAAGGTTTGTGTAATCAAGGATTTCCCAGAACTTCTCTGCTATAACTTTTTCCCCTTCAAATGCAGTGATGAAACCAACTCTAATTATAACTCCTGTTACTTTTTGCCATGGCAGACGAGCAGTTATTGCTGATGCTGCAGGAGGAAAGGCCAGCTTGATTCTTGGCTTCTGCTTGCAGAGAGGAAGGGTTGGAAAAGCACTCAAGGCACATCCCAAACAGATTCATTTGGCAAGTCAGAGAGAAATAGCATCCAAGGAAACTCAAATCACCTGTTTTACATGGTGACATTTCTGAGTGGAACTGGACACAGTGAGCTATGAAAACCAGCACCTCCAGCCACTCCCCGTACTAAAAGGGAAATGAATGGTTTCTTGCTCAGGCAAGACACCTTAGCCAAAGACAAAGCACCGTAACTGAGCTGCCAAGCCCATTAGCAGCACGGGTCTCTGAAATGATTCGCTATGGTCCCCCTTTTGGAAACTCCTGAGTCACGTACGAGCAAGAATTCTAAAGCCTGCCACCCACTGCCTCAGTCAGGATTTCTCCACTTGGTCAAAATGAAAACACATTTCTCTAGAGGAAAACTGTTCTCTGGTGACAAGTGTTTGCCAAATACCACTTGAGCTCTCACAAGAGGGCCATTAAAACTTACAACCGTATTTTTATTTCCGATGCCACTAATCAAGATTCCCTGGACTTCTAAATAATAATTAATTAAGAAATCAAAACCCATTTGGTTTATTGATGGCTTCAGTTAGTTTGCTTTTTAGGTTATGTTTTGGTTTTTAGGATGGTTTTTTGTTTGTTTGTGGTTTTTTGGGGGGATTTTGTGTGGGGTTTTTTTTTACTTTTACTATTTCTCTAGGCTTAAAGAATTAAATGACAAGACTGCATTTCAGATGAGTTTTTTAGAGCTGCAAATACCAGCAGGAAAACTGCAAGATAGAGCTTTATTTCCTCTTACCTTAGTTTTCATTGTGGAAATATTCTTATTGAGCATCCCTTTGGTATAATCTGAATTTGTCTTTATATAAAGCATTTCTTTGGGAAAGCATCTTTAATCTTCACTTTATCTAAAGGAGACCATGATGTTTCTCACAGGCATTTGCAGTGACAAAACAATAAAAATTAAAAGGAAAGAAAAATTTACATAATAGCTTTGTGTCCAAATGTCTTGTAAATATCTGCTGGGTCTAGAAATGTAGGAGGCTGATACTACTCCAAGAACCAAACTGTAGAAAGCATTTCTCTCTGGCAGACATACATATTTAATTCACTTTCTTTTTTTTTTCATTTACCAACCTTTTCACAGCTGCCTGGGAAACTGAATTTTTGGTTCAATCAGTTTATGAAAAAAAAAAAAAGATTTTTTTTCATTTTGTGAGCCTATATTTCGGATTTTAAGCAGAGAAGCCAAAATGTTGTTAAGATACTTAATTCCCTATTTGCAGGGTAAAAACAAAAATTAGCCCTAAACTTGCTGCTTAGCTGCTGGCATTCTGATGTCAGCATCCCAGTCTTAAGTCAGCTGGCCTCATTTAACAGCAGGAGGCTGAAAAGGGAGATCATTTCTCTGGCTTTCATTCAGTCTACACAGCGACCAGCTCTGCAAGATACCCCTCTTTAAGGGATTGAGGCTTCTGATCGCAGATTTCCCCTTCCCCCCCTCTGCACCACCGCTTCCCCCCGCCCGCGGGCCCCCGGGCGGGCCCCCCCCCCCCCCCCCCCCCATTACATCAGGCCGGGCAGGCGCCCCGTCTGCAAATTAGGATCCACTTAAGGGACGTGTGTTGGCAGCACATACACGCACACACACAAACAGACACACTTTAAACTCATTAGCTCACGCCCAAGCACAGAGGAGTGGCACATCCCCACTGTGCGCGTATACACGATGACAGCACATTGGCTAGAAAGTAAGCAGCAAGCAGATATCTACTTCTGGCGGAGCTTTTGGTGTGGACAAGGAGCTTTTTGGATCGTCAGGTGCAAAGTGGCAATGGCTGGGAACATGGCAAGGTCATGGGAGCTTTCGAGCTCCGGGTGAGGCACACTGGAGTTGTTTAAAGCAAGTTTTTCCTCCTGATGGTTTGACTGGGGGACAAACATGCCTACATTGGTATTTACTACACAAAATTTAATCCAGCAGCTTCTGCATTCGAAGATACTGCCCACATCAGTACAAAACATTGTTTTCTGAACTATGTTATGCGTGGTTTTGGTACAATTCTAGAGAAACTAAAAAGTTATTTGCATGCAACAACTATGTCAGTAGCTAATTAGATTACCATTATAATGAAAGAATTTGCTGTTCAGCAAGACCAAAACAAAAGGGAAGCAGGGAGGGAGGGAGGAGGGAAGATAGTACTTTAACCCAGTCTCAGGTAAACCATAATGTCATAATATTGGTACAGCAAATGTTCTTATTCCTTTTTTTCCCTTTTGACAGTACCTTGACCTCCTTTTCAGCCACCTATTTCATTCTTTCAACTGCCACCAACAGATTTATTTTTTTTACATTTTCATTAATCTTTCTTATTTCAAGCAAGTTCCAACTCTTGTGGGTTTTTCCCTGCATGGATAAATACAGCTGCATAGGTGTATTTCAATGTAATGCACCTGCATAGAGAATCCTAAATAAGCGGTTTGAAAGTCTGTAGGAAGCCTTGGATTAGTTCTATTCTACCAGTGGATAAGGGACTCCAAGTGGCAATATAAATAGATTTTCCTGTATATAATATAGCCATTTACATTTGCAAACGCATTTCAGAACCATAATTTCCTGAGAGAAATGGTAGTAATTTAAAGAGCCTGGGGGGCGCAGGGTGTGGAGAGCTCAGTGGAGGTCCTTTGTGGAAGTTTTCTACTCTTTTATCTACCCAGATTGTTCTCATTATGAATAAATGAAAGAGTGCACGTTATCAGTAGAAAACCAGCTTCAGAAGAGGATAAGGTGGGGAAATCCAAGGACGCAAAGAAAATGCACTTTCTTGCACATATCAAGTCAAGTAGAACAAGTAATATGCATAAAGAGATGCTTAAGAAAAGGCTTTTATACGTGAAGGTTCAAGACTTGTTGAATACTAGATAGAGGAGAGAGGTGGGAGGAAAAAGAGAAAAAACCTCTGCCTTTCCTCCTACAAGCATTTATTATGAAACTCTTACAAATATTGACCATGCAGAAAACTTCAAGAATACCCATGTCTTTAACACAGTTCTAGACAATCCAGAGAGCAGAACATTATATATATATATAAGCAGACTTGAGTATCTCCTCCCTGTGCCCCCCTGCTTCACCTCCCCCAAAAAGACAGAAGCTGCCAAAATATTGAAATAAGAAAATGAAAACCTGAATAGAGCACCTCCAAGATTTCTGTAACCAAGAGCAGACACATTAGGAAACCTGTCTCATTAGCAGCTATTTGACTTCAACAGCTCACCTGCGGACTCTGCCCTTATCTGCCCCTAAATGCTGTGTGCTAAGAAAACTGTCAGGGTAGAGGTACAAAAGTACAAGAGATGACTGAGTGAGGGAATGTTTTATAGGTGTCCAGCAAGTTTTCATTTTCACACCGTTCACCTTATTGACTCCAGTATGAATCATTCCAGACTTCACATCACCAGTGAGGCCATCAGCCCTCATGGGGAAAGTCTCTCTGCACACATGAAGTATTATATAAAACTTCAGCTATGAAGAGTGTTTAATTACATCGGTTTTTAGCCCTGCCACATGCAGAGCTTTGACTCAGATCAGCTACTAAGCTATCTCAGACGTAAACTGACAGCACATCAAGTATCCCCCTGTAAGGGGAGATTCTTCAGCTAATTTACCGAGAGCTAGAGACACTCTTCTTGCAAAGACAAAATAAGTAGCAGCTCTGTGTTTGCTATCCTCACAGCTGAGAGGGCTTGTCCCTAAGCACATTAGAATACCAGTTACTGGTGGTGTGCTGCCTCCACGGGGGCTTTGCAGCTAGAATTAGGTAAGACTCGAAAACTTTTTCGCATGAAGCTTGTCAGACAGCAATCGGTTTCAGCAGATGCGGACCATTAACAGATCCTAGCTGGTAACAGAATAGCAGACAAGCCTCAACAACAGCTTCTTCACACAGGTGTATTCACAGAAGGGAGAAACCCATTTATTTGACATCAGAGATAGGAGATAAATGCAAAGCCATAAAAACCCAAGACCACGGTTATGAAAGTAACGCCCTGCTTTGCATGTCCCGTGGCACCCCGGTGGCTGCCGCTCTCGGCCCTCAGCCCCGGCCACGCGTGGGGGAGCCGGGCACAGCAGCCCACCCTGTCTTGTCAGCCACTGGGGCTTATGCAACTGCTGCCGGCACGGGTGGGGAGCGGGTAGGGAGGGGAGACCTGCACCCCGTGAGACATCCCGCAGAGAAACCCCTCTCGGGAGCAGCGGTGCCACCAGAAAGGTTTTTCGGATCCCTTTGGCGAGCGTTTGGAGGCGCCGGGAGCACGGGCGGCTGGGTTGTTATCGGAAAGGGCAAAGCGTGAAGACAGACCTATTCCCCTGGCAGCCGGGCAAGATCCCCGACTCTCTCTGAGTAACTCTGAAGTTCACCCGCGTACACCGACACCGTCCCTATCTCCCCTGGCGCTGCCGCGCCGGAGGAGCACCCCAAACCTGACGGCAGCAGCGGGGCTCTGCGCAGGTTGCCGGCTTAACGGAACGCCGGTCTGGGAGGGCTCTTTTAGGCTTTGGGATGAAGAAAAAAAGCCCCTCCGGCTCCAGGGTGCTGCCCTCACGCCGCTGCCCGGCCGCACCGCCGCCGGACCCGCCCGCGCCTTCCCACCCCCGGGCGCCCGGTGCCCGAGAGGTTCCCCCGAGAGGCGCCCGCCCGCCCGGCACCCACCTGTAGGACACCTGCTTCCTGAAGGTGAGGCTCCGCAGCTTCTCCTCCAGCGACTCCTCCGCCGCGGACAGCCCCGGCTCCTCCGGGACCCCGGCGGCACCCGCCGCCTCCCCGCCGCCCTCGGCCCCCCGGCAGCCGCCGCCACCCGCCGCCCCCGTGTCCTCTCCGCCTGCTGCAGCGGGGGGGTTCATTGCGTCGGGGCACTGGGGCCGAGAAGGAGGAGGAGGAGGCGGGGGCAGGGGAGGGCCGGCCGGCGGCTGCAGGCGCTGGGGGGCGGCGGTGGCCGGGGGACCGCAGCTCCCGGGGCCGCGGGGTGCGCTGCGAGCCGCGGCGGCTGCAAATGGCAGCGCGACCGCGCAGCATCCATCGGCGGCCGCACTGCAGCGGGGCATTGTGGGAAACTCCCGGGTGGCCACGCCCCACTGCCACGCCCCGCCGCCCGCCAGCCAATCGCCGCGCCCGCCGCCGCGCCCCCGCTGCCACGCCCTGTCACGACACACACCCCCCCATCCCCGCCCTTGGCCTTACCGCACCCGGCTCCCTCCCGGCGTCACGTTAAAAACATGTTTGAGAGCGAGTCCTGGTGCCCCGGAGCATCCAGAGACGCCCTCGCCTTCTTACACCCCGAGCTTGTTTGTCTAGCGATTGCTTCTCATTTTGCTGCCTAGGCGATCTCGATTCGGTATGCTCAGAATCAAAGCACCCAACTTCAAAGAGGTTTCTTCTGACACAAGCATCACGGTGCCCTTCCGTGAAATTAATTGTCCTCCCACCTTGTTCCCTGCTTCTCCCTTTTCTTCAGTGCGTGTCACTAAGGGAGGCTTTAGAAGTAGGTGTCGGCATGGAGCTGTTTAAGCACGTGAGCTGACAGTGACAATAAGATTAAAAAGTACAGAAAAGGTCGAGGTCTGTTTCTGTACAGAAATTACAGCAGGAATTATGCTCAGCCAGGGCTCTGTTTTCTGTATCCAAAAGTTCTCCAAGGTAATGCGGTTCAAAATAGAAAGACATAAGGAAAAAAAAAGAGAAGCATGGACAAGGGCACTCTACAGAGAGGACATAGGCCACAGGAGCAGATTTTATAACCTCACCAGATCCAAAGATGACTTCCCTGAGCAGCCTTGCCCCTTCTTTGTTATTCCTATGCTACAACACAACCATTGCCATGATTAACAACATAGGCACCATACGCCCACATGCACCAGCGTGCAGATGTTCCAAAATCTTGAGCATAAACCTGGTGTATGAGAGTCAATAGGTTCTTAACATCTGATCCTTGCTCCTTCTCCAGCCCCATGTAAAGATTCAGCTTCTCCACCTGTAGCACATACTGTGTACACATCTTTCACCTCAGCTTCAGCACTGACAGGCTCACCATGACAGCCAACTGACAGCTTTCTGTCCCTTGCTGGTAGTAGAGAAGGGTCATGAAAAGTAGATCTTTTTACTACACTATGTGTATTTAAAAGTTGAACCAACCTTCAAAGTCATATTCTACCCATATGCATAATCAATGCATACATTCCCTACATGCACACGTGCTTCCTCCAATAGGGATATAAATTTTCTCCTCCAAATTTTGGAGTATTTTTAGTTACTAGTAAAGCACACAGACTAAAACATAATTAAGCAATGTAATACCTGACTTATTAGAAGCAAAACTAAAGTTCTTATTCAGAACTGTAAAAGGAAGGTCTGGATCCTGCTCTGGATCTCTCTGTGTGCAGAGAGATTTACACACCAGCATGGAGCTCTACTGGACCCATCACTGCCTTTTCCCTAGAGACCTGGGCTCTCATTTGAAAAGTCTCCAGTTGAACTTCCCAGGGAAATCAGCAGCCAGTGTTGCCTGTGAAAGCACTCAATTTAAGAACATTGTGACAAGTCTCTTTTGCAGTACAGAAGTAATCCATTTTGGGGTGGTACTGTCAAAGGCCAGTTCAGAGCCAACTCAACATTAAGCTTCAAGGATGAGGAGCGGCACCGTAACTCCCTCTCTCATCAATAGTATCTTCAAGGTTCTGTCTTTGGTGAAAACCATTGCTATGAGAAGATGCCAATGATGTGTAAAAAAATCCTTTAACTGCAAATTAATTTTGCAGTCAGAGAGCAGAACGCTACCTATCATCTCACAGCTTTATTGTCTTAGCCTCTGGTCCACATAAGAACAACTCTGTGGCCTGTGCCCCAGCTAATCGCTCCACCTCCCACAGAGCACCTGGAGCGAAGCCTAACAACTAATTAGAATTTCCTACCCCCTCTCCAAGCCACTGAGCCGCCTCCTCCTCCAGCATAAGCCTCCTGTGACTCCTGCTTGTCAATAACCATTTTCCCCACATGACCAAATTTACACTCTGCTCCGGGGTTACCTGTTTTTCCTCCAACTGCTGCAATTTGCATGACTCATTTGCAACGTGAAGTGCTAAACTGACTTCCTATGCCTTTTTCTGAATATGAGCAATTATGAGAGAATCTGAGGCTCGTGAAGGAAAGCCCTGCTTACACAATTACATCTGTGGTATAGCTGTCAATCCCTGTGGTTAGAACAAGGTGCAACAGCAGAAGCTTTGGAAGAGCATCACGTTTGCTCCAAGACATGGCTGCAGACATACCTCTGGATCAGGAGAGAAAGGATGAGCACAAAAAGAGATTTTTAGCAGGTTTTGCCAGTATCTGGGGTCATCATGCTAGCAAAAACCTGAATTCCCATGTCTGAGTTCTCATCTGTTTAAGCATTGTCAGGTTAAGAAGAGCACCTCACATCGCTCTGCGGTGACTCCCCTGCTTAACTGGGAGAGTTGACAAGGTTCAGCAGGTGGGGAGCTCTTTTTCCTGGGTGGAAACTTCTCACCACACTGCATGCTTTGAATAGCATGGATTTGAATTCCACCTAGAATAGGGCGGATGGTGGGAATGAAAGAGGAAATGCAGCGAAAGGAGGGATTTCAGCCTTTTGGAGTAAAGCCAGGGGAAGGAGGTTTATTCCATTACTCACATGCCTGTTAAATCCCATTTTGAACACTCCAGTGTGCACAGACTGCGTGCACTGCGCTAAGTTTTATTCTGAGTGAGAGGGACTGAAAATCTTTTTCCTAATAGAAAAGAGGTGGATATATGAAAAAGGACACTGGGGAAGAAAAGGGTGGGGCAGTCTTACTTGTTCAGTGTGCCAGGCTACCCAGTGAGAAGTCAGTCTACTTTAAATGTTCCATATTCCTTAAGATAATGCAAAATTCATCCTCAGGAAAACCTTCAACATTCAACCTTCAGGAAAACATGCAAAATATATTTATACACATGTGTACATAAGTGTTTGCATCCCCTCAAATTTTTATTCTATTTTTAAATGTGACTGAACAAGCAGCCAGCTTCCCTTTCCAGATCCAATGCTGATAGATAACCCCACAAAAACATTCACAGCATCTGAAGTTCCAGTAAAGCACTGCTTATCCATTGAGTAACTGAGGGATGCTGAGGCTCAACGTGTAGGGACCAAGCTCAGCTCAGCAGATTGCCCCGTTGGGCAGAGCTGCTTCACCCTGCAACAACAATTAGCTCTTTGTCGAGTTACTGCTTTCTGGTACATTCTGTTTATTTTTACCATTTTTCAGCTATTTTTCAGCACTGCTCCCCTTTCTGCCTGAAGGCTGCCATAGCCAGAAATATGCCCTGGTACCTGGTGTCAAGCTGTTCATAGAGGTGAAATGAAGTGTCACTTGCTTGGAAGCACCTGGGTGCTGCCCTTTCACAGATAGCATGGATCAAACCCACGTTTTCACCACAGAGGTTTAAAAAAGAGGGAAAACCAGAACGTAAACATTTCTTTGGACAGTAGAAGTGAGACAACCAAACAGTCATGGACCTACTCTACAGTGGTTTTCTTCCCTCAGCAGTATCACAGCAAAGATAGGGGCCAGAACTTGTAATTTTCTCCTTACTGGAGATACACAAAGTAGTAATTCTATAGCAATGTATAGAACTCATATAGATACAGTTCTATGTGAGTAGAATAATAAAAAGTCAAAGAAGTCATTCCTGCAGACCATTTGAAGCCCACAAAGAGACAACAGCAAGAAAATGAGAAATCAAAAAAATTACTTCAACTTTTTTAAGTACAAACTGGAGGGAAACAAGACACATTAGCATTATTGTAATTAGAAAACAAAAATGCTTTTGTTTCCAATCATTAGCTCCTTTGGATCATCTTGTTTTGCTTAATCTCAGTGTATTTTATAGAGAGGAGGAAGCTACCACTGGCTTTGCAGACCAGGAATCTGAAGCATGGAGAAGGGTAAGCCAAATTCACCAGCATGCCACAAGCATGAGGTTTGTGTTTCTAAAAAAATTCTAAAGCAAACAAACCAGGAAAGAGAGCACCAGGAATGACTCTCTCATGAAATACCTTCAGGAGGGGTGAAGTCTGTGCTTGTTGTAAAATAGGTACAAGCAATAGCTAACAGCAAAGGGAGAAGACTTACCACCCAACCATGCCATGAGAGGCATCACAAGCTGCATTTCCTGCCCTGCAATGGGGATCAGCCGGAGAAAGGAGTATCAAAATTCAGCGTTGACTTCAAGCAGTAACATGCTTTCCAAAGAACAGCATGTACCAGAGGCTGATAGGTAGCGAGGCTGACAGCTCATCACCCAGCATTTCTTCATTGTATGTGGGCTTCTTTTTTAATCACAGACTCCCTGCAGCATCACCTGCTGTGTGATGATTTAAGGGTAATACTGAGATCCGAGGAGATTCTTAACCAATCGTTAATCACTGGTCCATGTTTTGTATGCTTGCAGGAACTGAGCTCAGCTGAAACTAAGCTGAGGGTAACTTTCCCAATCAGTCACAGTCTAATGATTTTCCTCTAAAAATGCTATATATGGCTTGATGCTGCTAACAAGTACCCTAGATCAATAGTTCTGGCAAGTGAAATTGCCTGTTCAGAAAGCAAGAAGCACCCAGGGTAGAGCTTTGGAGGAGCTTTTTTTTTCCTCCACTACCAATTTCTTTTGCTACTTTGACCTTTTTAGCCCCAAACCACGGCATTTCCGAAAATATGCATTGGCCACAAATTTAGTGCAGGCCACGGTGTTCCAATTTTCATGGTACGCTGCCTTCTCCAACCTCTAAAGCAGTCTTCTTTAAGAGGCCTTGAAAAGAAGGCATCAAAGCCATCTCTCACACTCCCATTTTCACTTTCAGTAAAGCTGGAACTATTATTTCCATCACTAATATTTCCTGCAGAGGATAAATTCTTGGTTGCTACTGCATGGATGCACGGTACTCATATATGAGGTCTCTTTCCTAGAAGAAAACTGGTATAAAACAAATTACCACACCATTTGTGATGCCAGCTCTGCACAGGGTAGTTTTCACACCTGCACTAGGCCATCTGTCATCCAGTTCCCTGGGCAGCCAGCAAAGCCATGGAGTCCCCAAACTGGCAGAAATTAGGTGGTTTTTTTCCATGTCTACCCAAAGTAGTTAAAGTTCAGCTCTGTCCCCTGGCTGGATACTGTTTCTGGGCTGCTGGGCCTAAGGTTGACTGCTCACACAGGCAGAACAGCTTCTGAATTGCTAGAGAAAGCTCCTGAGCTATCTCAGGGGTGAGTCAGGGTAAGGGAAGGACCTGAGGCCAGCAGTGGACCTGATCCCTAAAAGCCAAAACAGAAAGAGCTCTCTTAAGAGTTTGCTTTAGTTTAAGCAAATCCAGTCTAAAGCCAGTGCAGGGAAAGGCCTTACCTTCCAGAGGGCTATTTGGCCCATACAACTCGAGCTCCAGCATGCCCTAGCAGACTGGTATCACTGGGCTGAAGCAAGTGCCCCCTTGAGCATCAGCCTTCCTGGATCCCACTTTTAAGGAGACAGAATTTAATATTAATGGGGCTGTATTGCATAGTTGCACTGAAGTGCCATTATCATTATCAAACGCCATCAGCCTTCACCTAATTTCCACCCAATATTGACAGACATAATTCTCTGCTAATCTCAAAAAGCGAAGGGGCAGCCAGCTTCAGTAAAAAACCCACATCATTGCTTTTAACCTTCTCTTTCTAGCACCCTGCTAAAGTACTGGGGTTCTGCCATGTTGAAGACAGACACGTTGCACACAGCGCCACACTGGGAAAGCCAAGGGCCCAGATCTTTTCCAACAATCAGGAGGAAATCAAACAAGTTGTACTTGCTTTTTCTACAGAAAATATTTATTTGCAAGAAATGAAAAGCATAACATACTTCGCTACATACATATTTAAGCTACAAAAGCAGGTAGTCTGTTCTCTCGTAGAATCAGGCAGATGATTTAAAAAGGAAAACCAGCAATTTCTTTCCACCCAATGGACATGTTTGCAGTGTTAACAATCAGGTGGGATCACATCCAGATGACAGCACTTGTACAAAAATAGAGGCCACTGTACACACAGACACAGAGTTAAATAGACATGCCAAGAGAATAGAGACATCTGCAGTCAGAAGAAGCCCCAATGAAGTTTACCAAGGAGTTCTGGAGGACATGCTTTTGCACTAGTATCACTGTCCATGTCATCTTAGATAGTTTAAAATGTTTGCACAAACTCATACTGCATTCCCGTGAACAAGGGGAAAGGGAAAAGATCAACTTAAGTGCCTTAGGTGTGTCACAGCAGAGTGACTCAATCACAAGGTGCTGTTTTGCATGGCCCAAGGCAATGGATTTGGCCCTGGATATGTATTTCTCTTCATGAGAGTAACACCAGGTAACGTACCCTTGGAAGGCCTAGCAAATCTTAGAAAAACTCTGATGTATTTGTGTCACAGCATGGCCCTCTGAGAGCAAACTGCTTCCCCTCAATGTGCCCATGGGGCTGTCAGGGCAGTAGCACTCCCACAGAAGGAGGGACCCTCTCCCACAAGACCAGCTCAAGAAACTGTGTTCCTTGAGCAATCGGCTTCCAGGGGCCACCTTTTAAGGCTAACTTACATCACTTAAAAGAAAAAAAAAAAAAAGATTCAAAGCCGTAATTCTGCAGAACAAAAATGATACCAGAATATACAATAAAGCCTAAAATAATCTTTTTTTTGAACCAAGCCAGAGCTGTCCTACAGAAAGGCCAGACAGTCTAGGCATACACACAAAATGACACAGTGCAACAACATTCAGTCGACAATTAATCACAGCACAGTCTTCAGACAGCAATTCACACAACAGCTTTATGAGTGCTCAGTGATGTGGAATGTTCAACAGGTTTCAGAGAGGGAGGCCTGGATTTCCTGTTGCACCAAGCCGAATGCGCCCTGTGTGTTCAGGTAGATGCCTTTATTTAGTGACACTTATTACATTAAGGAAACAACCCTGTGTTGTTGATTTCTTTTAATTATTCACATCTGCACAGATACACACATGCTCACACTCATTCTTGCTGACTGTACAAATGAAGAAAGCAAGACGCTGTTACATCAGCACCGCTGAATTAAAATCTGGTATGGCAAAGTCAGATATGAGCTGAGTTCTGTTAAAAGAAAATGATTACCTGCCTCTGCTTCCCCCTCTCCCTCTTCCACTCCCTTCATTATGGACTGCTAAAGTTCAAAAAGATTTTTACTTGCTGTTTGGAGGGGAAAGTGGCATATAACATAAAGGTCAGATATGCATAAACAGGACTGTGTAATATTAAAGAGCAAGGGGAACAGGAGTAAAGCTAAACCTAGCAGGGAACTAGTGACAGAGGCTATCATTGCTGATTTATGGAATCAAGAACTAGGTTTCCCTGTGATGTCAGGTCCCTTCACCTGCCCTTTATTTCACACCTTCTGTAAGACAGGTCTACAAATCTAGCTTTCCCATGCTCAGTTCTCAGCTGTTCAGTTGAAGCTCTTGGAGAAAGAGTATGGAGATTGGTTTTAGGGTAGACAAGAGACTACTACTAATAAAGAATATCCAGACTCCATTTCAGCATCACATATTAGAGGTTTCTGCAAGATGCACTCTCTTCTACACAGCAATTAAACTCTTATATATATATACACCTTGGAAAAGCAGAAAAAGGCCTGACATGAAAAGGACAAAAACGAATTGCAATTTCCCTCTCAACACTGGAGAGCATCTCCAGTGGATGCTGATCACCCAAGCAATGTGGTACTACTAACTGGGATCACACCCTCAACATATCTCTGAATGCCCAATGTCATTTTATTGGCCACGAGAAAGCTACAGTATTGATTGAATCCTTACATTTTATTTGTAAAGACCTTACTTAACATGTAAATCCATTCATCTTTGCAACCCCCAAAGTTATTAATCCTTAACACTATATAGTGCAAACCAGCAATGCATCACAGCACTATACTACTTATATAGGCTAGTATAACTTTTGTAGCTATGAAGTTCTGACCTATCATTTCACCTTCAGAACACAAAATGTTCCCTTTTTAATTAGTGACTCGAGAAAGAAATATTTTAGTCACCAAGAGTATAAAAATACGCCGTATTCCTCTGTTCTCAACTGCGTGGGTTTTGTACAATGGCCTCTTGGCACTAGTTAGAATCTAGAGCCCAAATACTCAGTGGAAATCCCTCCCAACGTAGCAATTAGTATCCTTCTTTTACTTGACCTACATTTTAAATGTGTCTAGACAGAATTTACCACTCATAGTTTGAGGGGATGGGAGCAGAGAGGTGGGTTGGTTTCTTCAGTAGGAAAAAAAAAGGGTTTAGATTAATTTTTAGTCCACGTTAGAAAAATCAAGAATACATCGAGATACACTGTTACACAGAGAGATATGGAAGAGGTCCCCTGTCAGTATAAATCAGACCTGCACCCCCAAGAGCAGTATGTGAGAAGTGTGCTGCGTTGTATCAGGTGGGATCTGGCCTAAGAACCTCAGTCTAATCCATTAGTCTGTGCTGCTGAAAAATATTGAATGGTACAGATGAAATGAAAGAAATGCAGCAAAGAACTATAAATAGCCCAGGGGAGAAACACCAACATTATCTACACACTAGTAACAAGGTTAGAAACAGCACATGCCCTGTGCTTGATAGTTTTTAAATATATATATATATATATAAAATAATGCCCTACTTTCATTCATAGCTTATCTCCCTAGAAGCAAAGACCTGACAGATCTAGGCATGCTTTAAAGCTACAGGCCAAAAGGTAAGTTTACTAGTGTGTATAAAACTGTGCTGACAAACACCATAATGTTACAGCTGAGGACTCCAAGTATCACTTAAGTCCTCTACTGGAAATGGAAATTAAGTAGCATGTAAGGCCTTTGCTTACCACATCCATACACACACATTATTCTACAGCACCAAGTCACTGATCACGGGAAAAAGCACACTGGCAGAAGGCTAAGACCTCAAGTAATAGAGCTGAGCTAATTAAAAGCACTTACACTGGCATCCTCCCTGAATACACCTAAGTACTCCTTCCTTATGCCCTTAACACAGAGCACATAAGCTTCCTCTGCACATGGTGTGCAGTGCATCAACATTCACACTGGGGTCACCCCTGGGCTGCTGAGGCTGGCAGTGCAATGGCACTGTCCTGCCTCCCCCATCCCCCTGCTAGGTACATAACATGGGCACAAACTACCTCTGGAGACAGTGAAGTCCTTGCTGCTCAACAGCCTGTGAGGAAGTGATGACAGGGGATTCCTCGGCCCCCAGTATCTAGCAGAGAAACCTGTTCTATTAAGGCCCCTGAAGAAAAATGCTCACAAACATACCCAAGTAAAGTAAAGGTTTTCCTTATTATAAAAAGTAACATGTAATACAATAAATCCCCAAGCAATGTGTGTGCTAGGTCAAGAGATTCCCCAAAAGAGTACCTAAAAATAACTTGAAGGATTACACAAATTAAGATTATAGAAATAGATTATCAAACAGTTGCAAGAAAATAGGAATAGCCGTACTGGCTTGGATGAACTAGTACTGAGGCCTGACCTAGACTGTGGCCATTTAAAATGCTCTGGATGAAAACATGACTGTCTCCCAACCAGATTTGAACCGACATTCCCAAATTAAGCAAAAAATAGGGCAAAGTTTTAACAGTGGCAAGTGCAGTACATTTTGGAGAGGAGGGGCTGTTTTCGTTGTGCAAAATTATCTGTCTTGTGAGTACTGAGAAATAATTCCATTTTGGATTTAAGACATTGAAGTCAGCTGTATCTACACTGGTTGGTGATCCATTTAACTGGTCATGGGCATGAGTTCAGGCAGAGAGGCCTCCTGCTTATACACACAGTACAAACTGCAAGACTGATAAGTGGTGTTGCACTTCTCAGCTTGGAACCTCTTCTGCAGAACATTTAACCACTCAGTTGCCCTCAGAGGTGGCAAACCATTGGTGCTCTGGAAAAAAAAAGACCATCTAAGGAATTTCCTAAACTATGACCTTGTGCACTTATGCTGACCAGCCATAAGGTAATGGAAGGGTCAATCCCAGCTTTCTCCTGTCACTTTGCTGACCTCAAGTGGCTGAGCAATGCAGCCATCCCTCGTGGCACCCACTGGTGGTCACTGTTTATGTGAGGCCTTAAACCATTCAAAAAGAAAAAACAGACTCATACAAAAGTTGTTGACAGATACTGGAATGATTCAGAGGACCCAGGAGGATCACTGTGAAGGGAGACAGACTTTAGGGCAGTGATCGACCCATGCCAAGAAGGGAACAGCTGCAACATAGACTACAACAGCACTTCCCCTCTCACTGCCACCTCAGGTAAAATAATAAAAAGGCACTTGCATAGAAGAATAGGGCATTACATAGAAAGCACATCTGTACACCAAAACTCATTACTAGCTCATGGAGTCAGGCACATGTTTCACTGTCACTAATGTGAAACACCTTCTTAAAATGACACAATGGGAACTGATCCACAGTCCCCTGTAATTCACCAAATACTTTCCATTCATTTCTCTGAGTTTTGAGTCAGGCCCGAGGATGGCAAATAGGGAAGAAAGTCTAAGGAGAACGAAGAACACGAAAGGAGCTGGTGTGATAGCTGCAGTATTAAAATACAAATCCAGTATTTTACAAAATAGAATACTTGCAGGAAATATCTACTGTACATAGTAAAAAATTACTTGTAAGGCTAGGTTAGTTTTTCCCTTATTTATCATTAGGAAAAAAATAAAAGACAAAAGAGCTTCAAATTCTTTTTTTTTAATTGACTTCTTCTGGTAAACTGTAAAGTAGCTATGCTAGCCTGCTGAATTAGGATTTTCATATTAAATCCATCTCAATGGAGCCTGAGTGCCCTTCTGTAGGAACCAGATAAAACCCTGCTCAAATCCTGGGGTAAGTTCAATTATGCCACTGCAAGGACAAATTGCAAGAAGCACAGCTCCAGCAAAGGCATGACCAGGGTATTGAGAGGACACTTAAAAGACAACAGTGACACAGGACAAGGAAGAAACAAAGCAGGGAGAAGACTACTGGACCAGGATCAGACCTGAATACTTGCCTTTTCCACTGAACTTGGGCCAGTCACTTCACTTCCCTATGTGCTCATCTCATCCCTCTATTCACAGGTCTCCTGCTTACATAATCAACTCCTCAGCTCAGAGGTTGCCTTGCCATACAGCTAATACAGTATCTACCACCTTCAGGACTGTGCCTAGCTGGGGCTACCTATACTCCTGTCTTTTCAACAAAGCAGTTGGTCTGAGATCACATCTCTGGAAAAGGAGGTAAGAGGATGTCATAATGTATCTTTCCACAGAGGAAAATAAGATACATGGCTTTATTTTAGAACAATTCAAGTTTAAGGGGAGGGAATGGGTATTCAGTAATATTTGTGTGTTAGATTTTAGAGTTTGCTCAGATCACCTGCAGGGTTAAGGGAAGCTCAATTCTCTTCATTGCAACTGCCTGAGCAAGATTTTGCAAAGCTAATAAATACTATTTACAACAGTAACAGGAAGATGGCAAGGAAAGGAAAACACAAGACGATCTGAGACTGGGTCTACATAAGAAATTCCGTCAATGCATCTAGAGGCCAATAAATTAAATCCATATCGTCCTCTCAGGAGGCACTTATGGTTTAAGCCTTACATTGATTCAGTTTGTTGGGAAGGAACTGATACAACCTAAATAGATTAGCCTTAAGCAAACTAAAGGGCATCCATCTAAAACATTGCATAAATTTAACAAAATCTGCTTTCTAAACAGATTTAGTTAAACTAGTGTAGTTCTCCCACACAAAGTGTGACAAGACAGTGACTGATCTTTGCCTAATTTCTCAGGGGTGGAAGCAGGGAAGCCTACCAGAACTGCTTTCAGCACACAAAGAAACCAACCCCACTAAATGATAAAGGAGAAGAGAAAGAGCTAGGGGAGGACAATTCAGCACCATCATTGCCCATCCCTCTCCTGCCTGTATTCTGAGCTCAGCAGTCTCAGGGCCCTTTCTTGTCCCTTCAGAAGTAGGCTAAACACATACTTCTCAATCCCCACAAAAGGCTCAAGTGCTGTAGACCAGCAGGCACAGAGCTGTGATTAGATTTGGAGCACCATCATGCTGCACCTCCTCTCTCTCCTTCAGCTACCTTCTCCCAAGAAAACTATCACCCACGTGCTCCTGTTGGTTTTGCATATTTCACTCTTCTACAGAATGCCTTTGTGCTCAGACCAGGCTGTGTGCATGTGGCACACACACCCACCAGTCACTGGCACACTGCTGGCATCATCTGCCATCATAATTCAATCCTGCCCTTGCAGTGTTAGACAGGAAAGGAATAAAAGCAAAGACAGGGACTGTGTGTGAAGTGAGGAAGGGAGTTACAAAGACAAGAGATCCCATCTGTAGTCACAGCCTCACCAGTCAATGCAGAAGTTGAACTCCCTCTCTTTTGTACTTTGGTTCACTGAGGATGACAAGTCAGGGGAACTTTGGTTGAAAAGATGTGGGAAAGAGGGAAGTCAAGAAAAAAAGGCCTTTTTTATTTTTAAGAGGTGGCATTGACTCTTCTATCTATTTCAATTATCTTCAGTGTTTCATTTCTTTCTAGTTCGGAGTTGACTCTGTAGGGAAGAAAAATACCAAAACAACAAAGGTTAACATTAACAGTCATTTTTAAAAGTGCATATCCTGCTTGAATTAGCTAATGCTAAAAAGACACTCAGTATTCACCAGGTACTTGTCAGCTGGAGTCTGGTAACACATTGAATTAGTCATCTCTTTGGCTCTAGGCTCAGAAGACATACTTGGGGTGATATGGCTGATCCTAGCCCTCATAATAGCATGCTGCCAAACAAAATTCCTCTCTCCACTGTTTGGTGGGCTTGTTACTGCTTGTTAGCAGAGACTGAGACCCAGGCCAACAGGACAGTGGCAAGACAAGAAAAGGTGCGGTGGAAAGAAAACTGCATATACATCTTTAAATCAGTGAACCTCTCTCTTTTCAGAGGCCTCAAAACCTTAGATTTAAGTTAAAAAAAAAGGAACTCAGTGTAGGAACTTAAGCAGTCTGATAAATTTACATGTCAGTTTCTTAAGACTGGGTCCCGGAAACTTCCCACAGTAATGCTTTAGTAGGATCACTGTTGTGAGAAGCTCCAGCTCTTCACACCCTAACCTCATAGAAAGCCCAGTGAGTCACAACTTCACACTACCACACAACTGGTAAAAGCTTATTCCTTTAGGAGACACACAAGTAAGTGCTCAAAGAAGTGGGCAGGCAGAACTAACAGGCTTACGGGGTTTAAGTTTCTGGCAGAAGTAGAGAGTTCAGTAGCTGTATTACAACAACAATGTGGCAAACACTTCTCCAGAGTAATGATGACTTTGCCTATAGGATCTCCAGATAAAAACCAAACTCTTAGTTCATGTTTTACAGTGCCCAGCACAGCTGAGCCACTAGTCTTACTTCTGGCCTTCAGGCACAATGACAGAACACCGGTATGACAAGCAGCCCACCCTGCACTCACCTGTGCTGCTGCAGGCCCAGCAGCACTGATTTCTCTAGCCTTGTCTCGTTGGCTATTGTGAACTGCATGATGTCATCCTGCTGTGTCCCTGACACAGCTTCCAGGGACAGCGTTGCGTACTTGGAGGTGTCTGTTTGCCTGTCATTGCGATCTGCAAAGGAGATCGGGCTTGACGACTCCTCCAGCTGGTGAGGCTCTTCATAAATTAGCAGACTCCTTGACCTCACTACAGACAAAGAGAGAAGGCAAAAAGACATGAGAAACAGGCAGGTCAGAGAACAGCCCTGGTTATTTCAGGAAATGGAAACTGTCAGAGCAGAGCTAAAGCTGCAAAGGGCTTTTCTTTCCATAGTGCTTAACTGGCAGTTTGATAGCTGAAGAAAGAAACCACAGGAATGGTTCCAGGTAGGGATCAAAAACCTCTAAATTATTCACGAAACAAGAATAAAATTAAATAATCACTGATAATATACTGGTTCATTATAGGTATATAATACTAACACTTTCCAACTCAGTCCTTGGAGTCTTTGCTGACACTGGCCAAGGGAAGACCAACTGATACCAGTTGTTCATTTTAACAGTATGAACATTTCCTACCGAGTAGAAACCCTACTACCTTTCACAAACCACTAGCTTTAGTTCCAGAAGTACCAAGCAAGCTAGTGGGGAAAAGGCTTTGCCCATGTTTATGAGGTCTGCTGCCATCAGTTTACCAAGCTATCCTTCTTTGTATATGTATATATATATACATATATATATATATATATATATATATCCTTCTTTGTTACATATAAAAAAATGGCCAGTCAAGAAGCAAAAAAGCAAAAGGTGCTTGAGAAAGGGGTTAGGAATAGAGGTGGAAAACAAGTGCCAAAGTACAACCAAGCAAGGAGCAAGACTGGAATAGCTGTCACTTACCAATGGAATCTGTGTAGGACTCTGGTGAAGAATGCTGCCTGGGCAACACCATCTTCGTAGCAGAAGGATATGGCCCATAGCTCTGAGAGAAGCTGCCAAAAACTACTGCAAAGCACAGTACCACCATCTGGCAAAGGGAGGATGCAGAAGAGGTAAGTGCACTAGGTTTTGACCCATGTGCACACATCAGAACTAACACTTTATCAAAACAAACCATTTGAGGCCCTTTTCATCACTACATACAGGGTCTCTTAGCAAAGGCACATATACAATAGCAATTCAGTGTTTTAAAGGGCACATTTCAAAGCTGGAGTTTGTTTTCAATGTCTGCCACCATTCTGACCAGCTGCCTTATTTACTCAGAAAGTTGAAAAGCAGACAAAGCTGCCATGTGTGTTTTACAGATACTGTCAGGATTTTCCCAACAGGTTACTTCTGCTTGCCCCAGTCTTGCTTCAAAGTGACAGCAAGGCTAGCAGATTAGGAGAACAGATTAGGCCTTGTAAATACTTTCCATCAATTTATACCACTTTAGATATAAAGGGAACTCGCTGGTTGAGTGTAGGTAGGGAAAAGGGAAATGTTTCATTCTACTCATTTTCTTATCTTGACTACTATTACTGAAATAGGACAGAGGTAGATTTACAGCCTCAGTTATATTTTCATTTGGTTGAGCAAGTTTATTTTTACTGGTAACAAAAGAACTGAGCATCAAAAGTCACCTTCGTTTTCATTTTACAACCCTAGACACCATTTCTCACATACAATACTGCAGTAAATAATAAAGTGGGTCACTTGGAGGAGCAGTGCTCCTTCCTTCATCACTGTAGCACCCAACCAAAAGCACAGGTCCAGTCTCCTCCAGAATTTACTGCCTTCCCAAGTCTCACCTACCTCAAAATTAATTGTCAAATCATGAAAAGGAGTTTCCCAAGCTGCAAATTTGCAACTGAGAGGCTTTGCAGAGCAACGGATGTGCCTTTGAGCAATGGAAAGAGATTCTCATCCCCTTACAGCATTAGGGACACTCACCATAAGACAGGTCCCTGTCTGTGTGCTAGCTGCCTTACATGAACGAGACACTTTGCCAGCAACCATGGCTTGGAGTCTCTGCAGCTGCTGCAGAAGTGTTCTGGAAAGCAAAGATAACAGACAAGAATCACACACACTGCCCCTCTTGTTGGTTAAATAGCTTTTTGTTTCAAATTCCACACCTGGCCAATAATACAGCATTTATGACAAGGTAGAGATAATTAAAGTCCTCTCCTTGAAATTACTAGCGAGGAATGGTTTTAATTTTACAAAGTTTTTACATGTATTAATGCTGGAACTTTCAAAAAGATCTTTTGTTTTTCCCTCAACTGATGTCCCTGAACACTTACTTCTTCAGTACTTTCAGAAAGCTCTTGTAACTAAAAATTGTATTTTCAGTGTTTCTACAAGAAATGGCTCCAGTGAGCACATTAGCAACTGAAACTGCTCTACACACAAATGACCAGATGCATATACAACCTGATATGTCATGAATTCAGCAGGAGTTTTGCCATTATTTTTAAAGGTGCAGAAGTGAGTTTATAACTGCTGTAGTTGGTGATTGAGGTACCTCCTTTTTCCAAAAAACCTATTCAGTGGTTTGGACCATGTGCTGGAACATTTTTAAAGAGAAGGTCTTAAAACTGAACATGGGCACAGATTTCATTTCTCAAATTCATTTATTAAATAAAACACTTTATTGCTATTTGCTAAATCCTCCAGGAGCTGACAAAAAATGCAGATGCTTCAAGTGGCTACTCTGACTGTGTCTTTCAGAGGTCCCAACCACAATGACAATTCTCTTGTGGCTGGAGTCAACAGTCCTAGACCAGCAGGATATTCTTCTGTCTTTCTGGCTGGCTTTTTTTCTGCTGTAGCATCAATTACTACAGTCAGAATACCACTCATTTAAATGGGAAATTATCTCAAAATATGATTGATACAGGCTTTTCACAGCAGTTTTCATTGAAGTGTTTTAGCAGATAAGGAGCAAATTAAATGCCTGTCCTTGACACAAACATAGTACAATTTTGTACCAAGTTGTTAAATTTGCTGTCCGTTTCCAACTTTACTTGTCACTTCTCCTGTAAGTCTCACAATCTCTTGTGGAGGATCCCCCAACAGAACTCCAGGCAACAGTTTTGGAAGCTGTGACGTCAAACACTAAAGCAAGAGGCGAGGTCAGGGTGTAAGAGAAAATAGAAGGATTATTTTAAGATCAAACTGGCTAAAAGCTAATTGTAGGACAGACCCAGAGGTGCCTTCCCAGCTCAATATACACTGGTCTGCCTGTTATCATAGATTTTTTTAATCATCAATGCTCATCGCTAATTAGGGCTTAATGAATTCAAGGACTTCAGGAATACATTCTGAAATGAGCACAAGGCATTCTCACAGCACAGATTTATCTGGGCCAGCAGATCCTTCTCAACTTATTAAGGAAGGATGTCTTGCATGCTCTTGAGAGCATGGCTTATCCTGCAACTCTTTAAAAAAGGAAAGCAATACACCTAATTCAATCCTTTACTCACTATTAGAGAGACCACAGACAAATTAAGATATATAAACAGTGTCCCTCATGTAAATGAGACCATCCCAATTTCCTGCTCCTTTTTGCGTCTTTCCCCAGCTCCCCCTCACATCCGCTGCATGGCATGGGGTCCACAAAGACTTGAGTACATAGTATACATCATTTTCTGGCACAGAACATGCTGCATGCAGCATTCCAACCACGTGCCATGAGCTATGCTATACAGCAGTGCCCTTTTAACTCCTATCACAGAAGACTAAACCTTCCCCCTGTTTCGGGCTTGAACCACTGGGCTCAACACAGACCAGCTCTGAGGAATGAAGAGGAAGGAGCTCTCCTCCTCCTCAGCTTGGGGGCTGGCAGCAGCAGCAGCCTTGAAATGCTGATCATTCCTGCCACTTTTTGTGGAGGCGTCAGTGAGAAAACAGCTAATGGCTGGTGAGGAAATCAACAGAGAAGAGGCAATTCTCCTCATTTTGCTCATCTCTGCCTTTTTGTGTTCAATTTAAAAAACCTGTTGGGCAGAGTGGGCCCAGAGAGCTGATTCCAAAGCAGTCTCCTTTTGGAAAGTATAATTAGGCAGGTATTCTGAGGTCTCCTATACACAGAGGAAGATTCATCCCACACCTCATTTACCAACTACCTTCACATAAAATGCCTTTCTTCCCCAAGTCATTTATCTGTTTGAGCAGAGCTACTGTCATCTTCTCAACAGACAAGGACTCAGTGTTTGGAGCTGGTAGGATACAGATGCATTTGCAAACTACGAACAAGAACTGAGGCAAGAGCAAGAAACAACTTTGATCAGAGATGATACCATGTTATCCTGCCACTGCCAAAATGGAGCACTCCTTGGTGCTTTTATTCTCTATTTGAATCTGGAATGGTGGAAGACTGGAGTCTGAGGTCAAAAGATTCCCAAGCAAAACCTTTTTACTGGACAGCTGCAGGGATGATCTGGACCAAGAGAGGGAAAAGGAGCAGGTCTCTACTCTGCAGAATAGGGACTTATCATAAACTATGATGCTCCCTCTAAATAGAAGCAGAAAGGCCACAAATGCTTTTAGTGGAACACACTGCCTATGGCTAAGTCCTAACAGGAGAAAATGCAAACCCAAGGCAGCATGCTAAGGGGGTTTGCACCCACAGGGATTATTTTCACTGTGTCTGACACATTTCTCAGGGATATTCAATTAGAGGGTCACCTCCGTGGGAGGTGTGAGCGTGTTTTCACACTTTTCTCTGCCAATGGAAGCACCTCATAGGAAAGCTGTAAAGTGACTGAAGACTCCTGCTCTTCCTTCCGCACACTGCCAGCAAATTCACTCTGCCTGTGATGTCTTGTTTTCCTGTGCACAATCACATATATTCATCTTCAGAAGAGACCCTTTCACTACCAAATAAGAGCAAGTCAAAGCTTCCCCTCTGCTTCCAGTGACACTGTGATTAAGGAGAGAAAATTTGTCACTCCAGGACGTAACCACCTGGGAGGCTTCCTCAATTCAATGTTTATGTTTAAAATCCAACATCAATTCAAAGAAAAAAAAAAAGACATTTTCTAGGGGACATCAAACACTTTATTTTAATCAAAAGTTTTCAGAGAATTGTTCCTACTTTGTGAGTAACAAAACCTAATTCTGATAAGGAGAGGGAAAAATTATTCTGTCTTCTAACTCTACATAGAGATTTCTATTTTGTAGGAAAGAGGACAAATCCCAAAGTAAGGCTTTCACTGAAAGACCACTTAAATCCACCATTTTGTTTCATCTGAATTACAAAGAAAATATCCAGCAATTTTCCATGGAAGACATTTCAGCATGAAAACCAATGTCCTATTGCTTTGAAAAGAAGGAGTTGCTCCAGGGCTGCCATGTTTTGTCAACTATTATAAGGGTGGTCTGAAATTAAGTACAAGATATCTCATTGCAACTTAAATCTAGATCCTTCACTCTTTGAACATGATTTGGTAAAATGACTTTACCAGCCTCAAATAAAGGGACAGCCAAGCAAATCAGTGAAGTCTGGCAGCTTTGGTGCTGATAAACCCTTGGTGGGTCAGAGTGATGTGTGACTTGATCTTTAGATGACTGGGAGCTGCAACAGTTTGGGCAGGAGCACGAGAAATGGGAGAACATCCGTATTTATAAAGCCACTGCCTTTAGAGGTGCCTGCTGGTTTGCGTTATTCCACGGCAGCAACTCTAGCAGCTACTTGCATGTATTGTCCATGTGTGTCACTCTCAACCTCATCCTATGTCTATCATTTCTCCAAGAAAAGGGATCATCAGTATATAAATCCAGATTCAAGAGAAGTGAGAAGCAAAGGTACTTCTCAACATGTTATACACAGCACCAGATATTTCAATACTGTCTTTAAGCCTTTGGTCCTGATGCCAAAATGTGAGTGGACCAAGCCTTCTTGGTAACTGGGACAAGTCAGTTCAATTCTCAGTGCCAGCTTCTTCTCACACCCTTTGCTTTCTAAGACAGCAGTGCCCACATGTTCGGATGCTACTCAAAACAATCAGACTCTGGCTCACTCGTGGCTACAAGACACAACAGATATGCATGTAATAATGTGCTTCCTTAGTTTTGAGAAAACTGCCTAGGAAGGAACTTGGATGGGTTTCTTCTAAAGGACTGAGTCATACAAACTAGGAGAGGTAACATATGCTAGTGTTCTAATACTAAATCTGACAAAAATGCTGCAGTCACCCACTCACAGTAATGAGAATTAAAAACTCTCCTGCGTCTTGATCCCCAGCCTCCTGCCTTGTCTTTTAAGATGCATGAATGCCAAGGGAGATGCTCCTGGATGCAATTTTTTTGACCTTTCACATTACATCTTTTCAGATCCAGAATTTCAGGCTAAGGCTGGCTTTCAAAGAAGAGTCATCTACATTTTTTCATATTACTAAGAGTAATGAAGGAACATTTTTTATCAGAAAAAAATTCTAGTGTTTCCATGGTTTGGAGCCAGATTTTGAAACGCAAGCAGGGTTTCCCTGAAGTCTTAGGTATATATCTATGCAAATATGTTCTATATATAGAATAACATGCTCTAAAAAAACAGATTACACATACTGAAAGGCAACTGCTGTTCAATAGTTGTATGTTTTGGAAATTGCCCTTCATTTCCTCTCAAAACCAGCCAGACTATACAAACATGATACTGACTGACAGCACATAGGTGTTCATGAACTTTTAGGTAAGCAGCTATAGCCCAATTTTCCAATAAGGTAGAAATCCAACTTTGTCTTTATCTATACTTGAATGCATTAACATTTTAACATGTAATCACAGCTCTTCTTTTCCTGTTATCTTCCTTGCACTATTACAATTTTTCACAATGAAAGAACAACTGTAATGCTTGCAGATCTACTTTTAGATAATATGTTCAATAATTTCTTCATTTTTTACTGCAATGAACACTCCAAGTTACAACTACAGTCAGCTAGTGCTCTGCTTTGGGCATATTAAATAAGATACATGTGTGCATAACTGTGTTACGTACTTTGAGAAATAACATCCCAGACATATAAATTTGGGCTTCTGACACAACAAACTGACAGTGCATAATTTTGACCACCACTGCTCTGAACTTTGACTCCTGACTATACACAGAAGATGAAAGTACCAGCTGTAGGATGCTGTGAAGACAAGTTCTGAAACATATGAAAGGTCTCTGGATGTCATGTGCAAATACCAGTATGGAAATGAGACATTTTTAATTCATTGTAAGATGTGGATAATGTACATTAAACAAGGGCCTGGAATCATTCTTTGAATGAGACAGTTGCACAGTTATACAGTAAATAAAAAAAGTGGCTCTTGGGGTTAAGATGAAAAACCCCTTAATATGGTATGTTACAAAATTAAGGCTTGATGAAAGCAGGCACTTTTACAGCATTGCCATGATTACAAGAATTTCTGTGCAGAGGGAAGAATATCTGCTGCTCTACAAGAGCTTACAGATCAATATCAATGCTATTGCAGAGGGCAGGAAACAATGCAACTCATCCCACATGACTAAACTATGAAGGATCTGGAGATAATATCACTTATCTAAATATTTTTAGAGCATTTAGCATGAAAGAATTAAGATAATCAAATAAGAGAGAGAATGCTAAAGGTCCTTTCTAAAAGGATGGACAATACCAACAAAGCTGTTCTCGTAAGTGCTTTCTCAACAACTCAGAGAGGAAAACAGCTGGCCAAATTTATCTGGAATGGGGAGAACAGCTCCAGGCTTGACAACATGCTGTCCTCAAGTGGATAATCTACAGCTGCACCTTTCCTTAGAGAAGTTGGCTTTAGCACCTTCTGGGACAGATCCTGGGAGAGACATCCCTACTCCACATCTACAGAACAATTCCTGGTTCTTGTATATGAAACTGTGGAGGACGATACAAGAGGCACAGAAATGGCTTGGCTCTCTTCAAACAAGCAGCAGATGTCTTTATGCATGAGCAGTGTGTGGGAGAGGCTCTCCCACAAGTTACAGTGCTACAGGGTCTGGCTCCATGAAAGTAGAGATTGGATCCAGAGATTAGAAACAACACATGCCACTCAATTAGCAATATATTGGCTGCCAGATAAGCTCTAGGGCCATCTTCCATGACTGTGGGTCTTATCTTCAAAACCCAGCTTCCTCCCACACTTCATTCAGTGGTAACATTCAACCATTACTACAAATGCCTCTAAACTAGAAGGTGTTAAGAGTGGGCTTTTCTAGTGCCTACTCATTGGAATTTGCCACACTGAGCATAAACCAGGACTGACACTGCACTCTCAGCTAACATCCAATTAAAAGATCAGCTATTTGACATTTTCTGCCATGTGTCCTTTGAGAAAGCCACCACTGAGTCACCCGCTTCTTCAGAAATGAAGCAAGAAGGTGATTTTCCCCTCCAAATGAAGGAAATGCTGGGGTGTGAGATGGTTAGAAGGGTGCACAATAATTGCAATGACATCTAGTAGTGCAGAGGGAATAAAGACTCTTGAGCTTTGGCACTGTAATTTCTGGAAGTGTCATGTTCCAGGTCAAGGTCTCCTGGCAAAATTTCACTAAATAAAGAGAATTGGGAGAGTTGGACTGCAGTTTTCTGTTTGTTTTGAGTCACTAACTAGGTTCTTTAGAGCTCTTCTGTTGGGCAGTGAAAGAACTCTAAGGAGCGCTAAAAGGTTCCCAAGCACTCCACAGGCTAGGGAGACAGTTTAAGACATACCATCAAAGCTCCCATGCTTTACATCCCACTGCAGTCACAACAACTGCCTCTCCTCATCTTTCTCTGGCATTAACCCCATCAGATACAGCTGTTGTTCACATTTCAGTTGACCTCTTAACCTCCAGATTTTCCAGCTTCACTGTAATAACACTGCTATGGTTTTGTTTGATTCCCTTCATACCTTACCTGTTAGTATTCTCCAGGACTTCAACCTTCTTACGCAGCTCACTGTTTTCATTTGAACAGGTCTCAACTCTGGAGACAGCGCAATGAAAGAGGATTGTAAAAAATCAGTCATTTATTAAAGCCATTGCAAAACAAGCCAAACTTGCTGTCACAGAGAGCTCTATGATCTTGCCTACATCTTAAAAGATACTACGAACTGTGGAGCCCCTACAGTGCTACATCCCACTAGGTGCAGCTCATTCAGGATGGGCTGTAACTACTTTCTGCCCCTTGAAATAGCATAGCAAAGATCCTGCTCAGACTTCCTCTGTGCATTGGGCCACAGGATAGATACTTTAGAAGTCACAGAATGGGTTATATTTATGTTGTTATCAAGTGTTCTGTGCAAAGGCACCCAGAAATCCAGCGAATGCCATGCTTCTGAAATCAGACCCTCAAATTTCAAGTTGATGAGGGCTAACAATCCAGGAGACTACAGACAGTGCTCAAGATTGTCCCAAGACAGTACTCATTTCCACACTGTCCCTGGAAATCCCCTAAACTAAAGGAGATTGTAATATAACTTGGCACCTAAGAGGTCCAAGTAAAAATATGTGACTCCCAAAAAGACAAATATGACCACTCTGAATAGCTCCAAGAAGAAAAAAGGTAAAGGGAGACAGCTTTGATATCTGTATGCATAGGATGGAATTTCATAAGAGTAACTCTAAGGAAGTGAGACGTGGCTATAAAGAGACAGGAAAAAAATGGGAATTACATCAAGGATATCACCAAAGATGGTACAAGGGTTTTAACAGAACCATCTGGTGAATTGCGTAAGAGCAATACTAGAATACTTGTCTCTTGGAAGAAAGAATAATTTGGGATATAAATCACTAACTGGGGGTTTGGCTACTGCTCACTAAGGGAAGCTGATGGGTCACATGCTATTTTCCTGAGTCCTGCTTGTTTTCCCAGGCAGTCCTGACTCATCCACTTCCTATTTCTGTTTTCATCTGCACTAGAAGACAGAATATTCTTACTCTGAATCCACCTTTGCCTGGACAATGCCTATCCACACAGCTGCAATAGCAGCTGGGTCTTGCCTTATTTAATGTGTAAAGCGTTTGCTGGCACTGTTAGGCATGTGCTGCAGGCAGGCACAGTTCTGACCCTGGACAAGCAGCAGCTAGGACCAGGGCCTTTTCTCAGTCACAGCCACGAGATGGCAGCTGGCACTCTGTGCACAGAACTGTCCCAGCATCCACAGCTGGATCCCTTCCCAGTCCTGCAACTAGTGCTATTGGCCCGCTGGAAACAGGAAGGAGGCTGGCTTACTTTTTTTCCAGACTGTCCATGTATTCTTTCTTTTTTCTTCTACTTTCCTGGGCAGAGATCTAAGGAAAAAGAAAGAAAAACAACAAATATTTGCATGGGGGGAAAAAAGGCATAAAAATGAATTAATAAACTGATAAAAAGCCTCGACGTTATTAGATGCAAGGCTCTGTGTTCTCATTTCTATTCCTGGCAAGCAAAGCACTGACTGGATCTGTTTCCGCATTCTGAAGCAAGACTGCTCCTCTCAGTCGTAATAAAAAAGATCATTCCCCGCTAACCTTAAAAAGTAAATCAGATTCATTCTCATCCGGAGAGAATATCCTAGGACAAATACTAAAAGATGATCCCAGGGCAGTGCCCTGCATTTGGGAGAGGAAAAGTCTGTGAATGTGTTAGAAAGCAGCTCTGCAGACAAAGACTTGGGGTCCCGATGAGCAAGTCAAACGTAAGTCAGCAGTGTGCCAGCCCCTGTAGCAGCAGCGGCCAAACAAATCTGGGCCTCCATAAATGAGATTTAGGTAGCAGGTCAAGAGAAGTGGTTCTTCCCCTCTGTTCAGTGCCTGCAGGGCCACAGTTGAGTACAGCCTACAGTTTGTGGCTCAGAAATAAATACTTTGGATGCACAGAAGTGAGCCCAGAGGCAGACCACTGCTATAATAAGCCTGCCAGAGCACGTGACATTTCAGGAAAGGCAAAGAAAGCCGGGTTTGTTCAGATTGAAGAAGAGAAACCTAAGGAGGGAATCCCATTGCTGTCTTCAGCAACTATCTCATGTAGCAAAGACAATGTCAGACTCATCTCAGAGGTGTACAGCAAAATTGCAAGAGGCATCAAATACAAGTTGCAGCAAAGGAAATTTCAATTACACATTAGGGATTCTATTTATCTGTTTTTACCACAAGAGTGGCCTAATATGGGAACACATTGCCCAGAGACGCTGAGGGCTCATCACCCTTTGAGGCAGTAAAACGTGACAGGACAAGTCCCTGAGCAACTTACTCTAAGCTGACCCCACTTTCCAAGCCAGGAGTTGAACCAGAGGACTTCCAGAGATCCCCTTCAACATAAATGGTTCTGATCCTTTGAAAGTGGTACATAAAATGCACAAGATAATTTCCAAAAATTTTTTAAAAATACGTTACAAGACCAAATTCCAATTCAGTGCGGGCAAATTTACACCTCTATCTGCAAAATCAGTAACAGAACATAGTAACTTTCAAAGATGTGGTAAAACCTCTAGAAAAAGTGAGTTGGCCAGGTCTTAAAAAAATTGCATTCTTCCCCATGTTGGAACCAAAAAAAACAATCAAAAAAAACTTGTAGGGCATTTGACAGCCTTGGTATCAACCATTCATGTACAGGTCATTGAATTCAGTGATCAAAAGACTAGTACACTGAAATACAAAGTCATATTTTAAAACAGGAAACAGAAAAGAAAACCTTCATCGCCACAAAAAGAATAGAGGTCTTTGCCTACCATAAGGGTAGGATTGTACTGTTTTTTAAATGGAGCCAAGCCACAGCAACTTGATACCTTGCCTGCTAAATACTCCATTGTTAATGAGTTCAGGTAAATACCTAGAATGAGGCACACTGTCAGAGTGACAGGAAATTTGATGGATGTGGTTAGGAACAAAGAAAAGCACTATATTAAAGGACAACTTACAGCATTCAACATTACCACACACCACTACTGCAGAATTCTGCAGCGTTTTTTAAGATGAGGGACAAGTAGGAATTACCCAGCAAAGCTCACTAACATTTACCTTGTTTTTTATTTTCCTGCGGATTTTCTTTAGCACTTTCTCCTCTGCTTTTGTCAGGGGTAGTTTGGTAGGGATTGGGTAGCCCTCCGCTATCAGCGTCCTCTTCTCCTCCTCTGTCAGGATGAGGGGGCCAGTCCCCTGTAGTTTCTTCAAGGGTGATAAAAATGAAATAATACGTTACAGTAAGTGCACAGAGTCCTAGGAAAAAAGGCTGTTAGGAAAGAGAAGCAGCAGCTCTCCCACTTCAAAGAGGACTGTGCCTACTTGAAGAACAGCCTCTTACCATTGTGAATATGTGGAAGACCCTCTAGATAACTTCCACTCAGGGACCAAACCTTTAGGACAGAATTCCCTCAAAACAGTTTTTCTTGGCCAAGCTCTGTACACACTGAGGCCAACAGTAAAACTCAACTTGGCTCAAACAGGAAAGAGACAAATGAGAAGCACTAGTGAAAATCCCTCCCTAAAGATCACCCCTTGCTTTTGACAAGAAGACAGATGCAGATCTACCAGAGACAGGTTAACCCAGCAGGGCTGGATCCTAAGGCAAAACACAGTCCATCATGGGATAAACCTAATAACACTATTGAACTCTGTCAGCTTAGAGGAGAGGCACATACTGTTCTCTGTGGGAACAGAGCAGACCAGTGAGCAAGAATTACTGGATCTGCAGTTTTGACCAGAGATGAATTCATCTAAAGAACAGCAGAAAGCTAGCAAATCCATGTCAAAACCAGTAATTAAAAAAAAAAAAGAAAAAGAAAAACAGAGAGACACACAGGCAGAAAGCCAGCCCAACTTACATGTGGTGCCGTCAGGAGAGGGGAATTGGACAGTACTGAAGTTGTGCGTGACGCAACTTTAGCCGTGGCTTGTAGCTGGATTGGGCTTGAAGGAGGGAGTGATCTGGCTGGGCTCTGCCCTCCTTCAGAGTCACTGCCATGGCTGCTGGGGGGGGTTGGAGGCAAATGCAGGGGATCCACTGCTAAAGGGCGAGAGAGACGTAATGTCACACAAGGGTTTGAGGTGCTAATTTAAATTGCCACTAGAGCCGCCTCCACCACCACCACCCGGTTTCTTCCAAGACTAGGAATGTCTGCTAAAAAATGGGTCAAGCAAAAGTGGCAACTTGGAAGATGTTCAGAGCATGCAGGTCTCCAAAGGAGGAATGAAATGCAGCAGCTGTCTTTAGGTTCGACAGACAAAACAGGGCTCCGTGCATATGCTGCAGTCATTTCTACCTACACTTCAGCTTCCTCCTCAAATTGATTTGAGGTTTAAGTATAACCTAAAGTACAAGTTCCCTGTTCCTGAGAAACCACATTAACAGAGGGGTTCTGAGCCAGCACACTTTCTCTCCAAAAACAACAGTGTTTTCTAACTCTGCTGTGGAATAAACAAATTGCCAGTATTTTTCAACGGAAGGCATCACATTCAAGGTGTTATGTGATGAGGGAGAAAAGAAAGTCTTCCTAAGGACTTGGTTTGGCCCAATTGGGAAGAAGTGACTGACAACCTCGTGATAGTGAAGGTTTCAATGTACTAATGGAGCAGGAGCAGCATAGGCAGCCACCACAGGAACCTCTCTCACGCTGTCCTAAATTCTACTGCACTTCTACACAAAAGAACCTGTGCTAGAGTTGGCAAGCAAAGTTCTGCTTATGACCAAACGGGTCTGAACCTACTGCAGATATGTCTCACCTACTGTTCTTGCATGGACAATTTAGCAGATGTCCAAACCAGCCATAACTAAGTCATTTTTTTCTCTTACCTAAATTTACAGCAATTAAATTTTGAAGTAGGAAGATACAGGCTAATTTGCCACCTTCCACTTCTGTTATGCTTTGCAAATTTGAGTTGAAAAGATCAAATGGGTGGTGAGGGAGGATGGAAGAAAAATAGTAACAAAAAAAGCTATAATACTCTTTTTGTCTCACATCTTAACTCTTGCAGTTGCCAGAAGAAGAAACATACTTGAAAAACAGCAAGGCCCTTAATCCCCCTAACTGAGCAATCAGATCTACACCCTGGGTTGAGATATAGCCTCTACCTGCTGCATCACTTGCTTCTCCCCCTAGAGCAGTACTATTTACCTACAGAAATGAATCCACTAACAGAATATCAAGTATTCCTAACTGAAATGCAGTTATCTGCTCAGATTTCAGACCAAATATTTGGCTCTTTCAAAGTTTTCTCGGCTTTAACAGATTATGGGCTGCAAAACTGTGTTTAACTTTCAAGGCAAGGATCATTGCTCCTCCTTCCTTATTTATAGCTCAGGGCAAAGAGATCCTGGTTGTTCTTAAAACTAATATGCTACAAACAGATTCACCTAACTTTTATTTTCCTATAAACTCACATCCTTGCTTTTGTATTAGAGGTTAACAGTAAAGTTTCCACTTACACTCTTCATGTTTCCTATGCCTTAGTTGTCTCCTCAAATTGATTTCTCTTCTATCCTGAATAATCCTGTACTTTAAGAATTCAAGCTCCCTTCACTACAATTATTAATACCCTGCAGACAAAAAGGGATCATTTTCTTTGTGATGAACAAGGGGAAAAAAAAAAAAAAAACAAGGAAAAACCCCCACATAAATGGGTCAGAGAGAATATGGCTCTTTAGTAGCCTGAGTTGAATCCCTAGAAAACAACGGCTTCAGCCTGAAGACTAACATGGTGAATGAGGAATCAAAATACTTAATCAGGGTAAAGTACATTTATTGTGCATTCTGATCAACTCCCCCTGCATTTTGGTTTGGTGTTTAACAGACCTTCCTTAGAAGAGAGGTTCAGGAACTGATCCACTTCATGGGGCTCCAATTTAATCTCTGGAAGAACTTTCTGGGTCAGTGGTTTCATCTAGAAAAGAGACATTAACAGCATGAAAACCCAAAGTACACATCTTAAAAATCTTAATAGAAGGACACAAGGATTACTTTTCCATAAATGGAGAGGTTTCCTCTCCTCCTGCTCTGCTACAGGCAAAGCTTTAACTTCTTTACAGAGTTTGCTAAACCAGGCTACAGAGAATACTGCCCTGACTACTCCCACTATGGCTTTTCTTACTACTATATTTAGCTAAATAAAAAGATTACGCCTCAGAGATGACATTTCAGACTGAAAGCTAGCAGGCAACCCACTCAAATTACTTCTCTTAGCAACAGAGCTGCTGCTAGGATCTGCCGGACTGCACAGCTTGAGCAGGGACAGAAACACCCCTGGGAGTGGGGGAAAGCCTGCTGAAGGCCATTGTCATCTGGGAGCAAGAGCACAGTGCCAGTCACGGAGCACCAGGTTGTCAGACCCAAGTTCATTTCACAGTGTGGAGGAGCAGGAAAATAATAGTCACAGCTGACTGAAGTTGGGAAGACACCTGGTTTGCCCCACTGACAGGGGTGGGGCACCAGGCTGTCAAGCTGCTGCCCAGAGTCTGTCTGTGTGCTACAGTCCCAGGCTCGAGGAAGTCATTCTGGCACATCAGCATGTTAACTGCAGCTGAAATCTCTCTCAGTAACATGCATAAATAATCCATGCAATAGCAACGAGCCACCAGCTAGTCCCAGAACTCCCTCTGCAAGTCACGGCAAACCAAGCTACAGCAGGACTGCGTACCGGGAACAGCACATTCAGACTAGAAGAGGATTACAGGAAACTTGGTGTTTAACTTTTTTCAGTTTCTCATAAAATAATTTCTGTTGAACGTATTTCTGATCCATGTCCAAGTGGAAACATTTATTTTCAGCATTTACCAGCTCCATCCAGCCTGGAGAGATATTGCACCCTTGGGACTGGGAACAGTCATGCTCCTTCCTCCACTGACTGGGGACCCTGGTGAGCCATCAGCTGCTGCAGTTCATTCTCCTTAACCCAACCACAGCCAAACTGAGCACTTCAGAATGCCCACTAGCTGCTCCAGCTGTGGCCAGAAAGGCATTACAAAGCTCCTCATGAGGCAGGCTGGTGTGGAAGCAGCAGCAGCCTGAAATGTCAAAGCCTCACAGATCTGGCAAAAGTAACTTTGCAGGCAAACAGGGAAACTCTCCAGTCAATCCAAACAAGGAGTCTTGTTCTGATTAAGGGAAAGGCTCAGCAGCACTACAGCAAGTTATTATTAAAGACACTTAGCTTGTCACAGGCTTGATAGAGCAAATGGATTAGAGAGTTCAGGTGTAAAAGGTTCATCAGAAACTGTTTAAATATTTTCAGAAACCCAAGAGCCCCAGGCTTTGAGGGCATAGAAGCCAAAGTTGTGCATCCAACCATTAAGACCTGAAGATGCAGACAACGTGTTTTGAAACACAAGCTCTTACAGCAGTAGGGGGACACCAGCAAACACTAAAAGCCATTAAAGCAGACTGCAGTGTGCACTCTGAACTGCCAAGCTTTGGCACCAAGGAGGATACACTGCTATGCAGTCTTAGGAGAACCTATAGCTAATTGCGCAGAGAGGAGAACAGGAAGTCTGCAAGTACCAGGGCATCTGTCTGTAGTTCAGGTCGTTCTCCCTCCAGTGATGTGGCCGTGACGGTGAGACTGATGGAGGGAGCGAGGCCTGATGTCTCGCACAACCCTGGCTCGGTCTTTATTGATGCTGGAGTAAACTCTGTAGCCAGACACCATTCCTCATTTTCCAGGTCACCTGCCAGGGAAGGAAATTGGACACCACATGTTTAGGTCAGAGACAGAAAGACTACAAATGAAAATAATGTCATTCCTCCTCCAGAGAAGGGAAACAAACACAGAAGACATTTTAGTCTATCAACAAAACTCTGCCCTTGCTATTCAGCTCTCAGTCAAAGCAGACAACCATGCCGTTTCAGGGCTGTAACCTAATCCTAGCCCCAGGATACACAGAGGAGCAGGGAGGAAAGACTCAGAGCACTAATCACTGTACACTGCTGAAAGCTGCTAATGCATAGCAGAACAAGACCAAACAAGCCACTGGGCAAAGCAGCCAGGGAGCCATGTCCTCAACACACTAATGCCTGCTGACTCAGTTTTATTCCTCCTAGAGATAGCCTTTAGCCAGACTTCTTCTACTGTTTGCAATCATCAAATAGCTTAAATGGTGATATTATACTTTTAAGAACAAAGTATTTTCACATTATCAACTTCATTTTTTTCCCCTCAAGGATTCATTTAACAAGTGTAAAAGAGGATATAGCTTTGGTGACTTCACAGGAGCACCAGTGACATGGTGATCACGCTGATTTCCTCCCCAAAGCCTCTGGGAAGTCAAAGCATAGGATGCATATTTTAACTGGCAGCAATGAAACAGGCATCACCACAGTGATGATTGTCCCCTAACTCCACTTACTGCAAGTTCACTAATAAGAAGAAAGTCATGAAACTTTTTTCTGGACAAAGCTGAAAGGTTGGCCTTGCACTGCCAAGAACTTGAAGAAGGTTGGCTTGGTAGGTTTAGCTCCCCATTTCCATTCATGAAGCAGCCACTGTTTGACTTGCTGAGAAGGGATTTACTTTCCCAGGTCTGACATATGATAGAGGATCAAGAACTCAAAAAGACTCAACCTTTAAAACAATTCCACAAGGCTATTAACAACCCCTCTTAAAATCATAAAATCATCAAATGCATTTTTGGCAGTTGCTATTCTGCCTTTAAAAACTTCCAATTCCAACTGCTAGAGGTTTAGTAATGTAACTTCTTTTCTCTTGCAGAAGAGAAAAGCTCTGCACCAGCTGCACTGCATCTCAAAAGCATGTGGCACAGTTCTGTGCCACAACTCATCAGGAGTTGTGAGAGGCATGTCCGTTAAATCAAGCAGCTGGAATCTGAAGGTAAATATACATAAAAGAAAACAGAGTGCTGATCTTTCTTTCAACACCTTCTACTGCCTTCATACAGATCATTTATCAAATATACAAAATCAGAACAGAGGGCAGGTACATACACTGTAGGGCTAAGTAAAGAGAAACAGAGCTTTGAATTAACTGCACGCTGCATCAACGTCCTGGGAGGCAGCCACGGTGCTGTGGCTATGCCACCAGTATTCTGCAAGGCTGAAAAAAGGCCCTTCACATCTGAGTGCATCAAGCTGGTGAGATGTCAACAGAGTTCAGCTGCAAGCAGGTAACAAAAATAAGAGTGGGCTTACAGCCTCTGTGCTGCTGTGTGTCCTTGCTATTAAGACCACACACACACAGAGCACACAGGCACTGGGCAGACACTGGGTGACGGGAAGGAGGGAGAAAAATGTACATCTCCAGTGCTAGTAATTACTTTGTGGTGGGACCTAACCTCCACCACTGGCAAGGAAGGAGGTAATTTGAGTAAAGACACACCAAGGAATTAAAAATGAAAAATAAGTATCCTGTAATCAGAAGCCTCATGAACAGCAAGCTCATCTCTGCCAGAAGTAACTGTAGAGCAAGGGCTAAACACTGTATTTAAGTATCTGGAGAGCTTATTCCCAAAGCTTCCTGGAAAATGCAAAAATGCAAAAATAGAAGTATTTTTGGAAAAAAAAATAAAAGGGTATCACTGTCTAAATATTAACTCAGGAGAAAGGACATTGCTCTACGTCAACCATCCTTGAGCCTCTCTACTCACAAACATGAGAGCACAGCTCCCTCCCTGCTTGCTGTGTGTCCATCATTCAGGTAATACCTTTAAAGTAGTATCTGCCTGAGAACCCAGAATTCCTTGGTCAATGCAACTCTCAAATGCCTGTTTAGATAACTTCTGTCAAAACTTCCCCCACATGGGGATGTGCAGAGCCTCCTCTTGCACCTCTGGGTCGAGCTACCCCCGTGGCAGCACCATCATCTGTAATCTACTTTAAACTCCCTTTGGGAGGGAAGGTTAGGGATAAAGGAGAGCTATCAGTGAAGCCAGTAATTGTAATTAGCCCTGAACATTCCCAAATTTGTATCATCTTGCAAGAAGAGAAATTTAGCCATGGGTGACCAGCAAAACAGGGCATGTCCTCTAAGGCTGCACTTTATGGTGTTTATCACCTCTAATCCCCAGGTTCATCACAAATATTCAGCAGCAATAAGACAGCAAGATATGCTGGCCTTCAGCTAGTCATTTGACTCCTCTGGAAGCTGATTTTGCTGATTATCTTGACATCCCTGCCATCATCATTTAGATCTGCATAAACTGCTCAGAGTTATTCTAGGCTTTAAAACCAGCCTAACCAGTTTGTAGGGTTGCAGATGGTTTCCAGCGACAGCAACACACTGCGTTTAACACTGAGATAACTCTGAAGAACTGTATCTAATACTTTTTTGACACTGCCTCTTATGATGCAAGGTGACAGGTCTCATTCCAGATGAACAACCCTGTGAAAGAAAGGGACAGAGGACTGGTCAAATCCCACCTTCATAGTCCTCTGTCCCCATTTTTTCCAAGGCCCTGTTGCACACTCACTATCATAGGTAGTGTTGTGTGACAAGTTACTTTCTTTTCACACATTCCAGCTTCCAAAGTCTCGGATGATCTCTCCTCTGCTCCAAGAGAGCTGCAAAGACATTTCCCACTGTCCTTTCTACTCTTCCTGAGCACAGCAGGTTGACATTATCTGAAAATCTTAGTTTACTCTTATAATTCTTCGTTTGTTCTTATAATAGTTTATTCTTATTATAATACCTTAGCATCTTAGTCTATTCTGCCAAGCACTGTACGAGCAGAGCAGTGGCAGCCCTTCTCCCAAAGCCCTTGAGAATACTGCACAAAACCAGAAAAATTCAGGCAAAGAGGAAAAATTGAGCAGGCTAATAGATTACTGGTCATACAGAGAAGTACAGCACATCCTCCAAGACAAGAGTATTTCTGATACAGGGTTATGGAAAACTATGAGGGAGGTTTCATGGAATAATGAGAACAAGCAAGAAGGTACATGTGAAATACTGAAATGAAAGGACAACAGAGGCTGGCTCCAGGGACCCACTGCAGGAAAAGGCAGGGTCCAAGCAAGGCATGCTGTGGAAAGAAATTAGAGGTGTTTATATTTGACATGATCCAAGAAATACACATGAACTATTGAGGCAGAATACAAAACAAGAGGCTGAGAAAATAATCCCCATGATGGTATGTATTCAAACAGATATGAATAAGGCAACACTGCATCCTCTAAGGTGAGGCAAAATACACTGCAAGTCATTCAGATAGAGAAGAAAGCCTCAACAAGAGATTTAGCTATCCAAATGGCCAAGAAAACAGACATCCTAAATATTGTCACTTCGACTGTTAAAAATCTCCTCTCAGGCTTCAAAACACAGACTCCAAAGTCCACTGTTGAACAAGTGAACTGCCTGTCAGTTCCCTTCCCAGGTGAAGTTTCCTATGAACCTCAGAACTTTGCCATGCAATGGCTGTTTAGATGAGAATCATTTCCCCTTTACCTACCCTTTCATAAGCCCATGAATGTTAGGCATTTTGGCACATGGAATATGTAATTTAAAGAGTCTACACAGTACTTAACCAAAATCCCAGCTAACACTTCTATGTGCAATGCACTGGTAATTAAATTGCACATACAGATGATGTTAACTGAATATTCATGTTGCAAAGCACCCAGGTATTAAGAAATACTTATGCATGTTTAATTCAGTGTCCTTTTGCACATCACATACATATAAAAACAGGAATGTTTTAATAATGTGATGAAACAATTTCTCTACAGAATTCATGCCTTACCCAAAAAGCATGGCACTCCAGTAATTAAGGAGATATTCCATGTTTTGTTTTTCTCACTGTCTCATGCATAGCCTCACCTCTCCTTAACAAAATTCATATTTTGTTCCCACAGGGCTATTTAATCCCCTCCCAGGGAAATGCTCCCCCAACCTGAATTCATTTCCACAATGATCCTGAAAATTCAATTGAGACATGGAGAGATTAAGGCCAAAAAGTAACTAGGAATTTAAAATGGCCAACCGGAGACAACTGGAATTGGATTTTTCAGATGATTTAGCATTGTTATTATACTTGATCAAAATACAGTATGCATTGAGCTTTCAGGTTCAGCTGTGAGCATCTACCACTGCTGCAAGTTAAACATCAGTTTCAAATCAGGCATCCAAAACCCCCATTCATCACAGCACCCCAGGGTTTGTGACACATGCATCTAAAATCTCCTGTATCCAAGACTAAAATTACATTTCTTCAGAAAGCTTTTTTGTGCTTCTTCTGTCATCAAGCTTGTCCCACTTTTCCTGCAGTCTTATTTAGCATGCATCTTCCACTATTTTCTTTTTTTTTTTTTTTTTTTAAAAAGGCAGAAGCCTTACAAACCGCCAAAGTTAAGTTCAATCAGTGTATTGAGCTAAGTTCTCACTGACAGGAAAAACTTCAAACATATCCCCTTCTATCCCAGCTGTACTCATCATGAGTCCAGCTTGGGCCCAGATATGATATGCAGTGTGTTGTGAGATGCCGTGTAAGTGGGTGATAATGCAAGAGATGAAACTCCAAATGGGACATAATTCCCTCAGTACTGTAAATGTAAGAATTGCATGCCGTGCACATCTTCAGCAAGGTGTCCAAACAGACTCTTTCTGTCCTCTGTCTTTATTTCAGAGGTCCTAATCCTGTCCCGGGTTCCACCATCTGCAGTTAAGATGGGTAATGCTCATAAGATCTGCTCAACATACCACAAGTGGACTTTTTGCTTC